TTGTGTATACTGTAAGTCATGTACGATCGACACGAAATTTACTGAAGAAAACAACAAGTATTTGATTTTTATTTGAGTACATGATTTCACATTGTTATTCACATTATAATTATATTGTGCATGTGTGTATATATATATATATATATATATAGTTTTTTTTTTTTTTTTTTTACCAGTGTTTTGTATTTAAACCAATTTAACATATCATGGGTTTGTGATATATTTGCATGTTTGTCTTTTATAGTGCATGACATAGGTTTGTTGCATTACCTGCAAATGGCTCACGATGCAGAACGTCTCCGGTCCATTCAGTCCGCAGGTGGAGGAAGCAGTAAGCCGATGAGCTCTCCCTATCAGCAAATCACCCGTAGAGGGGTAACAGCTCCCCTCTGCGCACTTGTCATTGTGATCAGGTGATTGTGCCAGGGTGTGCAAAGCAATGGCTAGGGGAATCAGATATTATCACATTATGCTAAAATACAGTACAATGAAAGTTCATTTATAGGGCAGACTGAGGTCATTTGTCACACACATTGCCTCAGTGAATATTTCTCTGGGTGCTTTTTTTTTGTTTACTATCACTTACATTTAAGTCTAGATTGATGGATTGAGATAGATAGATAGATAGATAGATAGATAGATAGATAGTTATGTAACTCATCCATTCTATTTCATTTTAATGTGTAAACTGTTACATCACTGAAACATTTTGTGAACTATCCATGGTTAATCATTTTGGCTTCTGGTTACAGTACAGTCTGTTCCTAATTATTGAAATGAATATCACATGGGAACGCTTATTGACCTGATGGAGAGTTAAATGTGGCTACAGGAAAACCATGAGATGCACAAATCTTTAAACACTAAACCTGACACTATATAAATACATTTGTAATGGATGCTGATTTTGGACCAAAATACAATTTCACAAATACTGCATACTGAACCATTCTTCAAAATTAGGAATAATAAGAAAAACAAAGTTTCAAATAAGAACTATAAATAGTTTGAATACTTATAAGAACCAAAGGCATAAAACTTGTATGCAACACCAAACCTAAAAAAAGTTTACATTGTTGATGATTTTGGACCACACACACTTTACAAATCTACTGCATACTGTACCTTTCTTTCCCTACCTTATAAGTAAAAAAAAAGAAAAAGATTGTGAGATAAAAAAAGAGAAACAAATAAGAAGAGTAAAGTTTCAGGTTGGAACTAAAATCTGTTTTGAATCAAGTTAAAAACTTTTAAGCACTGTAAACAACTTTGTACTCCATGTACTGGTAGCCTTACAGACCTTACAGAACCCAAAATCCAAAACATCTGGTAATGTTAAAAACAATAATAAATCTTGGACAAAATCAAACATAAGCTTTGCCAAATGAAAACCAGTGGCAGTTGTATTTCTTAATGGAAGAATGATAAACAAAACTTACATATCATAAGAGCTGTAGTGTGGAAAGTCCACATTGTTGTTCTTGTTCTCCAGCAGTGTTTTCCAGAGGGTTGGAATATCTTTGTGTGAGAGTGTGTCTGTGTGTGTGAGTAGCGTGGGAGACGCGAAGCTCCCGCCCATGATATTAAACAACGCTGATTTATTACGCGAGTAGTGCTGCTGCTATATCCCAGTATTACGCCAAACACACTTGCGGTGTCTCAAAACATTGTGAGCTGCCTACCAATACAGCATTAGGGGGCAGAATGGAGGATAAACTGTTGAAACATATTCAGCGTCTCTGGGATAAACGTGAATCTTAAGGTGCGAGCAGCATTTTTTTGTCATAGGCGCGGCTCCAAACACCACACATGATGCGTTTCTTGCATCTTAAAAACATAGCATGAAACAAAACATTAAACTTTTAGGCTACGCTTTTCACACTATTCTTGAAACATGTGCTCCTATTTGGCATATGTAACACCAATTATCAGTATCCTTCGAAAATTCATAGCCATAAAACCTCTTAGCTAAAATAGCGACGTTATTAGACAGTAGAGCTAACTTTAGCTACGATATGTTTATCCATGTGTATGTAGATACACATCAATGTTTTACTCTAAAAAAAGACAGCACACATCGAAAAACTGAACAAATTTAAAAAAATTTATATACCATGTGTCTCAAATACACATAACAATTATTTGCTCTGCTTTACAGCAGTTAGAACACATTTGACATTACCATTTTATATCGTCAGTACCACCAAAGCCAATGTTACAGACTACAGTGGTGACATCTCTGAATTTAATGGTGAGAAAAAACTGTCAAACACAAACACTGCACTCTTCAACATTTGTTAAATGATATGGATTTTAATACAGCATATTTAATCATCCACAATTGATCAGTGACTACAAAAACAAGTGATGTAAAGTTAATTTTTTACAGCAAGTAGTTACAGAATCACTAAAATATTAAAACCTTAAGGCTTTTGCATCAATTCTTTTATTTAAAATACTGAATAATTATGATATTCACATTAGAAAATAGAAATCACTCTTTTTAATCAAAAGAAACAAAGAAAGTTAAACGAAATAAAATGAAACAATGAAATCATCTAAACGCCGGTACAAAATGAAGAAAATGTAGTTTGATCACTGGTGTGCAAAGAAATCGTTCTCAAAAAACCTAAACTGTGCTTGTAATTCGTTATTTAGTGTTATCAAAACCTGTGTAATAATGCTATATTTATAATCCCCCTTTATTGCAAACATAATTAATGAATTATGTATAATCTGCTACAAATGTATCACATAAAAAGTAATCCTTAATACAGATACCAATGCAAAATGTACTAAGGCTGCACGTTTTCAAGTTTTTCATTAACCGTTAACCGAGGCCCTTCGGTTAATACTCGGTTAACCGCGCTGCAACCTCGAGATACAGAGTTAATTTTTAACACCTTTAATAACTAGCCTAGTTGGACCCCATTTGAAACGAAATTAATTTATAGAGATAAAACGCAGTGGTAAGTTCAGAGCAGTTAAAGTAGGCGCGTTTCCAACTGAAATTGCCAATTGAAAATACGCACATTGGAAATGGAAACACGTCCATTTCGCAAAAACTCTGTGTCCGCAAATAATAATAATAATAATGATCATCATTATTGTAACATTTTATTAGGCTGCATATGTAGAAGACGCTTTTATCCAAGAAAGGAACAAAGCAAATTAACACACTATTTTGACGCGCATCCAGTGTTTGTGCATAGTGTGGAGCGCGCACTGATGGCTGCGAGACGCCCATGTGAACACTTGCAGTTTCATTGCAGTTCTTTCAGTGGAAACAACTTAAAATACTCTTTCATTTCTGGTCATACAGAAAATAATAATACATTATTCGCAAATACATTTATTTGCGTAAACTCACAATAACAAGAAAATGTTGTGCTTTGACAATCAGGCGCGCTTCATGATCCCCGTGAACTGAAGCGCGAGAACTGAAACAGCCACCGCATTCGAATTTGTTCTTTTTAAATTGGACTTTGTAGACTAAAGCTTTAAATGTCCAATTTAAAACAAACAAATTCGAAACGAAAGCCAATATCTTGTGACTATGTTATTATGTAGCCTAGCTAATTATGTATTTCTCTCTAAAGGTGCATCCGGAGATGGAGATTTGTTTTTAGCCAAAACTGATTTAGAAAACAATAGTTTATTAATATACAATTAATGCCTCGTTATTTTATATTATTTTATTATCAGACACATTTATTTTAGCCTATAAATCACCTATAAATCCCCTTTCTGTAGGCTGTGGTTACGGCTCTTCATTCAGCACTGCGGGGAAAATATCATTTCCAGGTTCTAATTTGGCCTCAGAAAACCAGTAAAATCTTTTTTTTCCATAATAATTTGTCAAATATTGTAAATGTTTAAAGGGGCAAAAAATCAAACAAATATCTGAAAATGCGTCGATATGTAGCCTATATACTTTTGCGCAGCATTTGGCGTAGGCCTACAGTTCAAATGAACATTTTGGTGTTCAAGTTTGCGTTTTACAAAATACAACAACCGTTCATTTTTCGTTTTGCAATCATAGATATATACACTAGACCTCACCTTGGGGCTCTAAGCATGCGTCAAAACCGCCGCCATCTTGGAACAGGGGTCTTGTCATAGGAAGTAGCTAGGTAACGCCGCTATCTCTGCCTTTACGTCGAATTCATTGATGGTGGCGGACTTTTGTGCAGCGTATGATGTTCACTGATGAAATCTGAACTAGGAAGAATGTTTAAAAAAAAATAAAATTCTTTCTGGAAACAATGATAAATACATGTCTGACCGTTGGAACAAACCAAAAAAACAAGAAAAATCGCATTCATGATGATTTATGGTGATTTTATTTGCGTTAGACCTGTGTCTACTACATTTACGCTGATGGATTAAAGTGGAGGGACTCCCCTGTTTCAAGATGGCGGCTCTATTGACGCATTCGTTCCAATGAACTGCCGTAGCCAAGGTGAGGTCTAGTGTATATGTCTATGGTTTTACAATTAGGCCAACGGATTAGCTAAATAAGGGGAAACGAATGAACACAAAAGTAGGCTACACTGAACGTTTGGACATAATACGAGGCAGAGTTATTTTTTAAAATTCATAAAAGATATAAGGAATAGCCTACTAGACAAAACCTCAAAGAAATGCCACAATCAAGACCTCGTAGCAGAAATGAGGGAGAAACACCCAGGAACTCTTTGTCTATCCCTGCCATTGCTTGGATAACACACCACGTCTCCTTTTATAAATAATACTAATGTCTAGTGCGGTGGCTGTGATATAGACTACCAACGTCCGTTGCCATTATTTTTGGAATGACTTATCGCGAAAGAAAAAAAAGATGTTTTAGTCGCATAACGTTAATGGAAACGCTGTCATTTCACAATATTTTTTTATCGACATTCAGAAAAAAAAACGCAAAAGCTTTATGCAAATATGTATTGACGCCACTAAACCGAGCAAAAAGGTTTCACTCGGTTATATAATTTTAAACGGTTAATCGGTTAACCGGTTAACCATGGACACCCAGTAACAACAAGTGCTGGCAATCATATATCATTCCATTTTGAAAAAAAAAAAAAAAAGCTGCACTCATATCAATGTTGTAAATGCCAGAACTACAGTTTGGCCTTTGCAAAGTTTGAACTGAAGCAGAGGTGCTGGCGCAGAAATGCTATTGTCTTGCTCCATGAGTCCTCTTGTGCGTAAGCGTGAGGTTTGGTCTGTCCACCCCATAGCATGACAACTGCAGCAACAATAACAACAACAACACCTTACATTCAGATCTATATTCAAACAAATGACACATTTAAAAAAAGTTCTAAAAATGTTGATCCTATATGAAAAAAAAAAATTTTGCTTACTTTTCTCGTTTGTTTGTTGCCGGATGAAGTTAGTTGCTCGGAAGTGAGGCGAGTACGGTGGTTCGATCAGATGACCCGCATCAGGATATGTCAGGACTGTCAACAAGTGCCGATTTCCTGCTTTCTCCATCATCATCTCGATCTGGGTATAAAAGATCCAAATCAAGGACCCAATTCACATCAAACCATTGAATCATAGTTGAGAACATTACAGGGGCGTGTACGGCGTATTTAGTCTGTACGATGACACCTATTGAATCGTAGGCTACGAAGTTAATGTGCAAGTTAATTTTTTTACAGACCTATGTATCATGACATTAACTAACAAATATTTTGCATTAGATTTTGTGTAGATACTGATAGTGACACCTGTTGGTCAAAGTTGATAACACAATTCACCCAAAAATGAAAATTCTGTCATCATATATTCACTCTTATGTCCTTTCAATCCTGTATGACTTACGTCAATGGTAACCAAAACTGTTTGGTTCTTCAATATATATTAGGGCTTTCAAACGATTAATCGTGATTAATCGCATCCAAAACAAAAGTTTGTGTTGACATACTATATGGGGGGCACTGTGTATAACTATTATATATATATATATAAATACACACACATGCTTGTATATATTTAAGAAATATTTTCATGTATATACTGTATATAGATTTATATATAATTTATATTATATATAAATATTTTATATATAAATAATTTTTTTCTTAAATATACATGCATGTGTATGTTTATATATATATATATATATATATATATATATATATATATATGAAGAGTTCAGATGCAAAAGCTTCTAAATGCCATTTGAAATGTTCTTCTTTAATGATGATTTTTATCAAACTTGTATATTTAAGTTCAGTAATTTCAATTAAATAACAATTAATAGGTAATTATCATTGCCATTTAAGTGAAATCACTGAACTTAAATATACAAGCTGGATAAAAATGATCATTCTAGAAGAAAATTTCAAATGGCACTTAGAGGCTTTTGCATCTGAACTTTTCATATATATATATATATATATATATACACACACACACACACACACAAAATAATTATACACAGTGCACCCACATATATTATGTAAACACAAACTTTTATTTTGGATGCGATTAATCATTCGACAGCCCTATATATATATATATATATATATATATATATATATATATATACGTATATGCGCATTCAGTTTTTATATATTTCAGCTTATCGTTGTAATTAGTTTTTTATTAGTTTTAATAATTTTAGTACTTTTTATTTCAATAAATTTATTTCAATTAGAAGTCAAGGCAAAAACATTTTTTTTATCTAATATTTACATTTTATTTCATCTTTATTTCAAAATATAGTTATTAGTTACTATAGTAATTAGTTACTAATACACTTTAATATTTAGTAAACAGATATATAGTTAAATATTTGTTTGTAGATTTTAGTAATCAATAACACTGTTACAGAGAGAAAAAAACCAAGGAGAAAGAAATATGAGAGGAATTGTAATTTTTTGGTAACCATTCCATTAAAATGGTCTCATTGTTTATTGTTAATATTGTCTTCCATTAGCTGTCCTTTTGAGGTATCATGTTTGGACAAAATGAAATATATATAACTCACATCTGCAGCAGATTCAACAGAAGGCCAGCTCTGATCATCACCACCATTCACCAACAGAAGAGGACACTTTATTCTCCCAACCTATGTGCATTAAAAAAAAAATAGAGAACCGGCATTACAAATAATAGTAATTATAATAATTATATGCAAACAAACTGTAAACGAACAAAGAAATGTCAAAGTCGTACTCACGTCTACTTTGAGAGCCGGGTCTGAGGGAATCGGCAAAATGCTGTCTCTCTGTATTATCTGGTTCTCCTCATTCATACGTACATTCTTCAAAAGCCTGCAATAAACATCATTTATTACTGAAACATCCAAGTCTATTTCCCAAATTGTAGGATGTCACATGACCAGGCTTGTTATGGTCCTCTGACACTTGTTAAATTAACTTGACAGGAAGACGAAATTAATGTTGTGCAGAAGAGGTCAAATATCCAACATTTTTTAATTTTTACTAGGCTAAGTTATAATGTGTTATGTTTGTATTTCAAATAAGCAAATCCCTTGCCAGTTCCTGATTTTAAAAATATTACTACGATTGCTATTACTATTGCATTAGATGAGCCTCAGTCAGGTTGTGAATTAATGTTCAGTCCACTCACTTTTGTATCTCCTCAAAGGCTTCAAAAAGAGATTTATCAATAGGAACCACATGACTTCCACTGATACACACACAGCACTGGGGCTACAAGACAGTAAAAAGGATAAATAAATAATAAAAAGCTGCATTTATAATGTAGATAACTGTTCATTCGTGTGTGCAGGTCAAGCGAACCTTGATGACTTTTGAGTAAGCCGCCATGCTTAATGTGACGTCACTTCCAAAAGATAGTCCAATCATTGCCAGATTGTCCTTCTGTACCTTTGGATGATTTTGTAAAATCTGGTATGCTTTCTACAGGAATAATATATATACATAGTAAGTGGGAAACAAGCGCAATGCACAGGGAACAAATTAAAAGACAAAGTCTGATGACAATTACAGATCAGCAAGAATGTCATGTCAAATTTGCCCGCGATAGATCGGTCATCTTCCCCTTTGCGCAAGCATTCTCACTCTCACTGAGCGTGCGCACTCACATAATAACATCACGCATGCAATAACCGAACGCCATAAAACAGAGCCATGTATTGAGAGAGTTGCGACACGCTTTGATGTCGCCGCAAGGCTGTCACGTGGTTCATGGAAGCCCCAATAGTTCCAAAACAGACGCGGGCTGCAATGTTCTTCAATGGACAGACAGCAGCGATTGCATTATTAAACGGTAAATATAAAATAAAACGCACACCAAAGTACTTTTTAAGCTATCATTGCATTTGGTTAAAGTCAGTGTTGCATTTGGAGAGGCAGGCTGACAACTTAGATGTTTTGTAGGCTATATTTTTTGGAGGGAAAAGCTTGTGTTCATGTTCGCATTGGTAGTTGCACTGGCTTTGGCGGCTCTAACTAACTTAACTTTTCCATGTCATTCATCTGATGATGGACGTCTCGTGATATTTATTTTAGCACAACTGGGATGTAGGTTATTGATTCCCATGATCTTGCTTATAAATTCCGATTCAGCCATTAGCCTACCTACCGTGATCACGCAAAGACCCGTGGACCGGTGGCCCGTTCAGGATTACAATCATGACAACCAACAAAATATATAAATAATTACGCTGTGCATGTACAAATGAATGATTTAGGAGGGATATAGACTTCTCCCATGACGTAGCAATGACCATATTTACGGTAATGTTCGGTAAATTTTAACTGTTGGGTATCTTTTCTATTTTGAATGTACTTTATTTTGTATAGTGCTATGGACCATTTAATATGTATGTCCTGAATAAAGATATGATGATGATGATGAGTGAAATATTTGTTCCTAAATATGATCCATAACTGTTGGGATTCAATTCAGTATGGCTAATGTACTCCTTCATACCCTATAGGGGTGTCACGATTTCGATATTAAATCGAAATCGATCGAAATCGAAATAAAAAATGGTATCGTCAATACTGCCACGGCCCATGTCGCGTCCGTGATGGAAAGTTCGGATCGTTTTACTGACTCTATTGTTCAATCTCGTTCATCAAAATTAACTAAACTTTTTTTCTAGTCATTTCAGGGGCTTTAAATGTTATACTATTAAGTTATGTTACTTGTTTTTGTTATATTTTAAATTTAGCAATGGTGTAGTGTACATTGTGAACAAATTTATATTGCATAATGCATAAATGTGTAGTCTAAAAATTGCATAGCAATCTGCGCTTTACATTTTTTTTTTTAAATCGAAAATCGAATCGAATCGTGACCTTAGAATCGATAACTTAATCGAATCGAGGATTTGGAGAATCGTGACACCCCTACTATTCATAGACTAAACCATTCATCAGAAAACACATTTATAGGATGTACTGTGTATTGGCCTACACATGTTTCAATCACACATAATAACTAGCCCTAACTTTTTTTTTTGGTACGGTTCGCTTTCACACTGCTCTTTTTGCAAGTGAACCAAAATTTGTAAACCAAACCACACGTGTGCTAAGGTCGTCCATTCATTGGACAAGGATTCTCAAGGGAAATCAGGAAGTGCAAAAAAGGCTCAGCATGGAGATATTTCCATATATTTCATACTGCAATATTTGTTCTTTTACTAATTTTGTGTTAATTCTGTACAAACGCAATATGAAGAAACTAATGAGTATCATATAATACAATGTCATCTATACGAAGTTGTAATTCGGATTTTGAGAAGACGACGAGTGTAACGTTTGAGTGGCTCTATAAACGCGGGGAAATACGACAACTCTCGTCTCTCGTGCATCTTTTCATTCGACCACCTTCTGTTTTGTTTTATCTCTGGGCAACTTCTCAACTTTGCGTTACAAGTGGCACTGCACAGAAGACGGAGAAGGTATAAAGTTTTCATTCATAGAGAGGCGCTATGTTCACTCATTCAAATAATGAGATTCTTATTGTGTACTAACAAGTGCTGTCAATGTTAACGCTTGCGATTAAGTTTGTCCAGTTTAACGTAAATTAACGCATCATCATCCTTGTATTGTAACTATCCTTACATTAATAATAATAATAATTCATTACATTTAGAATTACATCACCACCTCTTCAGCTGGGTCTCGGTTCGGTTGTTTGGTTCGCACCCGAGTTCGATTGCTGTATTCACACCTGCCCAAAAGGTCCGCACCAAGGGGGCAAACGAACTAGAGTTCGATTCAATCGAACCAAACAAGGCAGGTGTGAATACACCCTCAGTGTCAACCACTAAATCCACCACACAAGTCTGTGAGCCAGAAGATGATATAGTCACTGTCTGTGTAATGCTGGGAGTACGAGCTGAATATTCTGTGTACAGTACCTTGCACATGTTTAATTGTGCTGATTGGCACAGTTTGTAATGTCCAACCTTTTTACACTTTATACACAGCGAAAGCATGACTTCCTCTTCCCCACCTGAGCAGAAATAAGAGGTGCATGTGACAGTTTTCCCCTTGTTCTATGTTTTACTGTGTGCTGCACCACTTGTTTGTTCAATGCTTCCTCTGCATTCTTAAATGTTGTACCTGTTAATGAGTAGAAAATCCATTGCCTCTTTGTGCTAAGGCAGTGAAGCATACAGCTCTCTGTATTTTGTCCTGCCAGGCATCCCCTGTAGCTTCTATCATTTGTAATTGTCAAAGATCAACAGCCATTATTATATTTTAATATTTGCCCCTTGTAAAAATCACTCAGATCTTCTCACTTGCCCATTTTTCTTGCTTCCAACAAATGAAATTCAAACTTCCTGTTGAATAAAGCTGGTAAGCTGGTCACCCAACCTGACCATCTAAAGAAGTCCAAACAAACTTTTTTTTCAGCAGGGCTGACCATTCACTTGCTGCCTAATAAATACAATCCCATTGATAGACACCTTTGTAATGATATAAAAAATGTTTTTTGACTTAACCTTTTGTGTACAATGTTGTGGCAAATCAGTGAGTACCTAATATTATCACATTTGCTTTGATGGCCAATAATTTATTTTGAGTGTCTCCTCAGGAAACACAGCCCACCAATAATGCCAAATCACATCAAAAGTAATGCGAAGGTTGGTCCACGATAGGAGACTGTCAAAAGTTCGAAATTACCTCAAAGTAAGCAATATCAACATCTTGCATTCTCAGCCCTTTTGGAGCGAAGTAATCAAGTGCCATAGATGCAAAGCCATGAGATGCAAGCAGGGCAGAGCGATATTCAACCAAACCACCACCTGCTCCCCACAGATCCAGCACTCCTGGGAACGGCCCAGGGCCTAAAAAACACACAGCAAGTCATTTTTACACACAAGCAATGATCATGAAAGATCTAATAGAAATTGACCCCTGATTAGAAATCTGTTATTTAGTGTGTGTGTGTGTGTGTGTGAGTGAGTGAGTGTGAGTGTCTGTGTACCTGGAGGTAGGAAAAGTGTTCCTTGTACTTCTTCCTCCCTGATGATTATCCTTTTCACACCTGGTGCTACATGCCAGCGCTCTATGACACTTGTTGCCAGGGGTGGTTCCTCGCTGAAGCCTTCAGATAGATGCCCACTGTATACTGAAATTTGAACTACCATTGGTGTAAGAATATCCCTGTTGCGTATTCTGGAGTAAAGAGTATGTAGGTCACAAAAGAGAGTGTCAAATCCCTCAAATAAAAAAGAAACCTGAATTTAAACTTGGTAATACAAAGCACACACTATTATATTGTTCTAGTCTTATCAACCTGAGTCCTTGTGGACTTCCTGGTGCGGGTCTCATGCTCCACAGCAACCCCATTGGCTCTCTTCCTTCATAAGTGCCTCCCAAACTTTCATCTGTGGTCCCTAAGGTATATAGAATAGGGAATATCCACATCATGTACTTAATGTCTTCTTGATCATTGTTCGCTCAAGAGAAATGCTGTGAATTCTAAATCTGTAGAAATGTGTATAACAAGTTAGCCCAAAGGAGAAACATTATTAATCAATCATATCTTGTTAGGATTAATTATGAATATTTGAGTCAGTTATTTGGATTAACTTGGTGTAGCTAAATGAATATTACAATCAATTAATCAGTTTGTCCAACAAACTCTTTTTATTATTCATTTATTCTAAGAAAAGGGTATCTTTCATGGCCACAGAAAAATAAGTATTTCTTAGCATGTGCAGCTCTTAGAGCACGCAACAAGATCAAGATCTTAAAGTAAACCTTGTTGCGAGCAGAGAATCAGAACCAAATAAGTATTGTGCACAAGTTTTATTAACTAAATCACAAACATAACTAAACTAAACACACGCCTCGCCGTCGTCCATTAAAACCTGACAATGGACACCTCGTCGGGCATTAACCCTTACTCAAACCATCACTGATCCACCCGTGCTTCACTCTGAAGATTGGCCGCCAGGCATATAGATGTGAAACCTCCAACATTGGCCAGTGTTTCAGTTTCATTGTCCAACCCCTGTACATGTTTTTATATCCACATATTTTGTTCTAATGTCACAAGTAATAATCTCAGGGTTTACTGGATTTGACGCACTTCTTTTTTATGTTATTGGTGGTGGTGTACTAAAATAAACATTGTAACGTGTGGACCTTTCTTCTTCTCACAGTTATGATGATGATTTCTTGGTTAATGTCAAGTTGTCTTAACAAAGACATTTTAAACAATGTCAACTTTGCATTAAAAGTGTCATAATTTACCGAATGACACTTAATGACAACAGTCATACACATTCATAAAGACTCCTTCATGTTCATGACAGGTGTTATGTCATGTTTATGACAGTGTCGTGTCAGTCTACTGCACACCCCTTCACATAAAGTGTTACCAAATAATCTATATAATGTGAAAGAAGTTGTATAAGGTCGTGACATTTGTTTATGTTATGTTGTATTAATTGTTATTGTTGTATGATGTATTAATTAGTCGCTACTTAATATATGCTGGGAAGGTCAGTTCATTAACAAGATAGCATCACATCTCAATTCTCATGCATTTTGTGTCCCAGCATCCTTCTGAGTTTGTTATTTCAAGGTCGCCAGGCAGGACTGGTCGTCACGAGAACGCGTTTGGTATTTGCGTACTTGGAATTAAGAAACAGCCAGTGTGAGAGATGCTCTGCTCGGTACATGTTTCATGAGATGTTTCAGTAACTCAAAGTCATAGAGATTTGAGCTGTGTGTCATCTGCACCTTTTCATTCTATCAGTAACAATAACTGATGTACATATTTAAGTGAACCTGTGGTTACCATTGTAACTTTTCTAAATTATGCATTTAGAGTACCACGCACCTGTAACTGTTCCGTGTTCATCACTGACGTAGTGTCCAAACGCCTCCCAGAAATTCTTATCCTCTGTTTGATGTAGAGAGTGTAGTGTCACCTTTTGACTTGGCAGTAAATTTGTTACAACGATCCGAAACTTCTCGTCCACCAGCCCTCGACGGGGATGGATAAAGAATAATGGACATGCCCTCTTCTGAGTGCTCACAGTCCTATACAGAGATTACAGGACAGATTGAAACAGTCATGGTTACTATAAACTTACCTTTTTTTCATTTCCACCAAAGAAACATCTGAAAATATCTGAAAGTTACTTCAGGTTTAGCTTAATTTAGCTTGTGTTTATATGGAATATGGGTGATAGCCGGAGAATACTATTCCAAACGGATTTGAATTCTTTATCTCACGTTTAGGTGTCAGGCTGACAATATCTAAAAAATCTAACCTTATTTAGTTTCCAACTGGGTTAAGCAGTATTACTTTTAGTATCAATATGAAAAATGATAAGAACATGCTTCTCACATCTCGGGTGCACTAATAAACTAATGCACAGATAATACTGAATTAATGTTTAACTAATGATTATCCAAGCTATTCATTAACTATTACCAGATTAGGAACTAATTAAGACTTTGTAGGGTTAATGTATTAGTTCATACATGAATTGTTATTAATTTAATACGTAATTGTGGATTAATTCCATAATAGCTCATTTTTTAAATAATAGTGTTAATTAAAGGAGAACTCTGGCGAACAATGAACCTTTGGTCTAATAAAACATCGGTACATAGTCAACCGTTCTCTGAGATTTGTTTTAATGATAATCAAATGTGAAGTGTTTTATCTCTAAAAACTGTTTAGCGTATAATGCTAGTAATGGGGGCATTGACTAAGTAAAAAGAAATCGCTAGTTTATACCACTAACAAGGCTCAAAATAGCCCCAAACTAACGCAGTAACATAATGAGGCTCCATACATGCAAAACGAAGCATTGAGAACTTTGTAAGAATAGAGACCGTTTAATACGAAGATACGTTATGAAGACAGTTCACTTCGCGTATACGGACAGGAGCCATCTTAAAAAATAGACTCAATAAGTCAAACCACGAACGTCGTGCTGAGTGATCTGAACTGTCTGAAGTTTAGCGAACTTCTGAACTGTATGAACGGCGTTCGGGGATCGACTTATCGAGACTATTTTTAAGATGGCTCCTGTCTGTATAGGCGAAGTGAACTGTCTCTATAACGTATCTTCTTATTAAACGGTCTGTACACTTACAAAGTTCTCAATGCTTCGTTTTTGCATGTATGGAGCCTCATTATGTTACTGCGTTAGTGTGGGGCTATTCTGAGCCTTGTTAGTGGTATAAACTAGCGATTTCTTTTTACTCAATCAATGCCCCCATTACTAGCATTATACGCTAAACAGTTTTTAGAGATAAAACTCTTTACATTCGGTTATCATGAAAACAAAACTCAGAGAACGATCGACTAGGTACCGATGTTTTATTAGACCAAAGGTTCATTGTTCGCCGGAGTTCTCCTTTAATATGTTAATTACCAGAATGTGCCAGAGCCTTGTATGTCAACTTCCAGAAAATATGACCGGTACACTAATATGCATAAATACATGATTAATTACTTCATTGTTAGTGCAAATTCATGAGCAAATTACTACAATTACTTAATGACTAGTTAATAATGATGTGCCCCAACAAGTAAAGTCATAACATAATGAAACATTTGCAAATCATTAGCTAATCATTAATTAAAGCAGACAACTGGAAGCTGAAGTGCATAGCTTTGACTAATTGTGGTAATTAACACATTAATTTACACTATTAGTTAATAAAATATGTTATTAAGGAATTAATACACAATGACACATTGAATTAATAGCAATTCATGTAATACTTAATCTATTAATCATATAGACTCTTTATTAGTTGCTGATACAGTAATCATTCATTAATGGTTTAGTTCTTCATTAGTTATACATTAACTCATGATTATCTGTGCATTAGTTAAGCATGAATTAATGCATATTAGTGCACCCGTATTGTAAAGTGTTACCAATTTATCTTCTGCAAGATTATGGTTCAATATATTAACAGCAATTTGGTCACATGCCACCTCTAAATGTGTTTTGGGAGTAATCTGATCACAAAACAATGTGGATGCCATTCGGATCAATTAAATGGTGGCATGAACTCTGATCATAGGTGTTTTAGACATCAGACTGTGATCATTGTGTTAGTGTCCATTTAAAAACTGCCATATACAATTACAAAAATTAGATGTTAAACAGTAGCCATGAGTCATTTACCGTAGGTAAAAACCCTTAAAAAATAATATGAGTTAAAGTTGTATCATCATAAAAAGTTGTATGATGGTATTTAGAGGGTTTGACCATAGCTGTCAACATTGAACATTGAAAATAAGGGAGTTTTCCCGGAATCCATCCCCAAAATAAGGGATTTTTTTTTTTTTGCACGATTCTTACCCACAAACTTTAAAAAATAAAGCACTAATCCTTAAAAATCTAAAGAGTTTATAACTAACGTAAGCCATGTGTGAGAGAGAAAGAGACAGTGTCATTTAAAGAAAAAAAAAATCTACATTTGGATTAGCGGTGTGTTGCTCTTGCATTTGGACAACAATTTCTACTGAATTTCTACATAAGAAACAAATGGAAAAAAATAAAATATATTTTATTCATATATTTGAAAATCGATTTATAATAATTATTATTTGTTTAAATTACATTGATATCTGAATTTATGTAAAAACCTAGACTTTCAAACATCAAAATGTAATTTATTAATATGTATTCGAGTACAAAATGACATACAGCTAGTCTAAACATGTAGTTTCCTATTTTTTATTTATTTTTTTGCCTGGAAACGCAAAGAAATTCCAGGCAAAATACACGCTTGCCTGTCGCGTGAAAAATAGGCGTCAGTTCTATTTCTAGCATGCACGCGTTTTCTGGAGACGCGTGTGTCACGCAGGCAGCGTGCAAGCTCTAATCTGTTAACATGGGAGCCGAAATAAAAACGTACACGCCACGCAGCCAGTGTGTCTCCGGCCAGTGCGCGCGGCACCGCATCCGAGGATAAACGACTTCAAGCCGAATCTGTCCGAGCTCGTACGTCTCACACAAAAATACGGGATATTTTACGGGAAAATACTAAAACGGGAAGACAGCGGGAAAAGAGCTAAAATATGTGAGAAACCCGGAAAAAACGGGAGGGTTGACAGCTATGGGTTTGACTCTAACCCGCTAGAAATGTGTTTGACTCTAACCCTCTAGAAATGAAATGTGTTCAACAGTGAATTTATACAAATCAAATGACTTACCTTAAGGATATCAGGTTGCTCACACAGGTTATTTTTTTCAATGCTGTCACACGTGCCATATACAGAAGTTTAGAATTAAAAAATGCTGCAGTAAAACTCCTCATAATTGTTTTGCCAGTTCTTCAGGGCAAGGAGAAGGCAGATGTGTACTTTTTTCCAACAGTTCTCTCAACAAAACCAACACCGACCCTACAATTTAACAGTTCCTTGGACTTTGTTCTCCAGAGACACACACAGACACAAGATCACCAAGTTATCTCTCACCTTCCCCAGTTCCTCAGTGGCTTTTATCCTGTTGCTCCATGCCAATTACTGGAATGAGAAACTGGCATTAATCATGCTGTACTGATCTTCTTACTCACCAGTCATCTCCTGGCTCAAGTCACCAAGTGGGTCCAAAAGGATCCAACAGGATTGAAAACCACTGGACTAGAGTGACTTGCTAGCATGAGTAGACATGAGAAAATAATCTTGCAACTAAACAGAAGAGACTAAATAGCAGACTAATCAACTAAAACATATGGACAACTGAGATATCCTTTTTCAATGTTCTGATTAGACTGGATGCATTTGAAAATATTAAATTGTGAAAATACTGTACAGCTATACTGTACAGCACTCTGCAAACGCAGCGAAATCCTCCCGAGTCAAGTCCCGCTCGATAGTTTTTCACATTAGAAAAGTGATATCACTCTGAAATATCTATAATATCAATGGTACATACTTAGTGAAATAGTTTTGGAGAACGAGGACATAATTCATTCCTGATGGTGTCAGGATTTTATGCCAGTATCAACTGCCACCTTTCCAAAGGGTAATAGGCTGTGATAGTCTATGGGGGAGATTCTCGGTGTGTGACTGGCATATATCTTATCTGGCATGAAACACAGGATAGTATTCAGAAATGACAGAAAATGCTAGGGAGAAAAGTGGAGGCCGACAGAAGTCAGGTTCAAGCTTGGGTCGCTTATACAAAAGTCCTATGTTGATTCTTCAAATTATAATGGGAACAGATCCAACGAACCATCCTGTAAGTGGTCTCTGTAAAACACAATTTGAAACTTAGTGTCATATTTCAGCACCAGCTGTACAGACCTGTAGTTTATTTGCCTTATTTGAAGGACAATGTTTGTTAATCTTTATTTTTTTGAGATGTGCACACCCTGCAGGACAGACTAAGAAGTACAATAGACCTTAAAGGTCCCTGACATAAAATTTTCATTTTCTGAGGTTTTTTAGCCTGTATTTGGTCCCCTCGTGTCTACAATTTTCAATCGGTGTAAACCGAGCTTTGGCTATTTTTCTCTTCTCTGCAGCTGATCTTGAAGGCTAAAATCAGGCTAGGAAAATTGCCTTTTATTTCTAAATTATGACTATTTTTGATCTAAAAAACATGCTAACATTTTAAACGTACAGTATGCGATTTTTGGCCACCAGGGGTCACTTATTTAAAATAATAACAAAAGACGTACTTTGATGACGTCGGGAAAGAGCGTGGGCTCACGGGAGTTGTTGTCGCTATCACTGACAACCAGCTCAGCTTATGACATGACATCATCGTTTCAATAAATATACGGATATACAGCATCTCTCTGTAGATTTAGCTTGTCAAGAAGCTTTAAATGCAACCCCAATGTTTACCTGTGTCATGCTTCTCCTGTCCCAAACCCTTCTCGGGTCAAATTTTTCACCCATACGTTTGAGCTTTACTGGAGCTGGCTGTAGCAGCAGAACGTGCAGGCAAAGCGTAATCGTGGTCCATAACTATAATACAGACGAATATAAATATTTATATTACGCTCCTTCAATGAATGACCTATTTAGAACATTTTTCATATATAGGGCGCACCGGATTATAAAGCACATGAGATACTGCAGTCAAACGTTTGACTGGGTTTGCGTTATGCATCCACTATGTGCTAAAGGCTAAAGGGAATGACTGTAGTGAGTGCGCGGCGCCGGAGGTGAGGCGTTTATTTAGTAAGCATGAGCGCTGAAGCGGGCACGTAACTTTCGCAGCCTGACTCATAAGTAGGGCTGTCGCGATAACCGCAATATTGCAGTACCGCGCTTCTGACAAGTAAACCGCAGAGGATTGCACGTAACCGCAGCAACCGCGATATTCACGTTTTTTTATAAGGCTTGTTTTGAACTTCATGCATTTGTATTGAATGTTAAACAAGTTCATAATGATAACAACAAGACTGTTTATCTTGGTGATGTGTAGCCTACAGAGGCTTCACACAGTGAATGAGAGAGATCTGCAGAGCTCGTGCGATTACCTGCGTCTGTCTTTGAAGTCGTGAAAAGGTTGCCGTGTCAAAGGAAAGCGAAATATTTGTCGTATCATCATTTTAAGCTTCACATCACGGGTATTTTCCACAAATGCGCGTCAGCAGCAGCGCTGGTCAGCATCCCACAGCGCGAGGAAGCCGCAGAAAATAATATCACGCAGTGAATCAATGCCATATTGGTCTCTAATAAGTGAAGCATCAGCTTCCACGTTACCCATGCGACGCATTGCTGATCAGCTGAGCCTTGAAAAGTGGAACTCAAAGTTAAAAATAATTAACATCTTGTTTCATTACATCTTTTTTAACGAATCAGCTTCTATTGAACGTGTTCGTTGAATGAACGGTTCAAAGTCCGTTGTCATAACAATATGCGCGCTGAGTGAAAGCCTTTCAATCATGTTTTCAGTGTGCATATAGACGCTGTTTAGTTTCGGTTATTGGTTAAATGACCTCGTTTTTGTCCACATCGTAAACTTTATTTATATAGCAACAAATACTTATAAATTAAATAAATAAATAAATAAATGGCGGTAATACCGCATATCGCGCTATTGAGCCACTCAACATTACCGCAAGGGAAATTCCATAACCGCGACAGCCCTACTCATAAGAGTATTCAATGTGCGTGGCTCGCTAACTGCAACAGTTGGCTGATTTGAATGAGACGACCCGGTTACTGTGAACGGGGAGCGCTTTATATGCGCGAGCAGCACCGGGGTGTCTGACTGTTAAGAGTGAGTGCTCGTGAGCGGGCACGTGATTTACACACATAAAAATACGTACTTACTTTTTTTTCTTCGTCATTTTGTTTGCTTTATTGGCGGTAGTCCAGTGTTCCCCTTTGTGTTTGGCGGTTTCGCCGGGTTCCGCAAGGAAGTTAGAGAAAATAGAGGAGTCAAAGGTTATATGACGCCATAGACGGGGCGACGAAACGTAAATAAAGAAACGTCCCGTGTCTTCGAATTAAACTATAAATTTCTCCGTATTTGAAAGTTGGTGGAAACTGTCGGGATAATGTAAGTACACATCTAATAGAAATATATAACATAGATACCGTTATTTTTGCTATTTTTAAAGCAGAAAAAATACATATTGTGGCTTTAAGGGCAACCCAGGAAACATTATAAAATAAGAAAATAATCCCATTGACCTTTAAAAGCCTGGCTGTGGCTTGAGTACATGGTCTTCTTTAGACATTGCCTTCCATTTGTTTGTCAGCCAAAGTTGTTTGCATTACCTTTTCTAACAGTTTATTATTCTCAGTAATCAAACTTAGAATAAACAACAAGAAATCCACATGCAAATTTGTGGACAATGGATTTTTAAGTTAAAGAAAGTGTCTAACCCCTCAGCAGACATGATATGACTAACATGGCAATTTGATTAAAGCTACACTGTGTAACTCTTTTAGTTTATTCTTAGCTAAATACACTTAGTTCTTTCGAAAATATATGTGCTCATTAATGTATATTGTGGTGGAAAATTTTAAACTGAATATTAAGCTAACCATGTTTTAACATTTGACCTCATTTACCCAGCTGAATATCTGAGACAATGTACTAAGACATTCTGTACTTCAGATGAATGTCAAACACCTGACTGTGTGTATAAATAACAAATATGGGAAATGGAACTAGACAGATGACTAAGTTAGAAACATTAAAACAAAGTCACCTCTACCCAGTAACAAAACAGTCTACCTATGAAGAACCAATGAAATTAATGTCATTATGGCATACCTCCATATCGTATAAAAACTGTTCCATCAGTGTTTTCGGGGGGATTCTCAATGGAATTTGTCTGAGATCCACCGGCCTTGTTTTTACTTGGGAAGTTCTCTGAGCATTGCTCGAGAACTCTCCTGGCCGTAATTAAAAGCATTGAAAGGACATTTGCTGGAGTCTGTCTGTTATTTAAGCTGCGCAGCAAGAACAAGTAAATTAGAATTATTAGCACCCGGCCGCCTACGACTGTAGACGCGCTGGGGTTATAGGATTAGTACCCGGCCGCCGTCGACTGTAGATGCGCTGGGGTTATCCACAAGTTTCCGAGGGGCGCTCCTGTAAAAAATAAAGTGCGTGAAACTTCCGGTGACGCGGCGGAAGTAGCATTCCAATGGTATTTTGTGTGTTAGTTAGCGAAGAGGCTAGCTGTTTTTCGGAGAATTATTTTACTATTTAAAGACGCAAATCTTTATGAGAGATGTCGTTACGGAGCTCAGGGACAACATGTGCTGTTTGCGGTTGTATGTATAACCGGACTAAACTAGTTCAGTGGCTTAAACGTGATTGTTTTGAACATAAGCTGAAAACGAAAACAGAGTGATCCTGCCAACGACTGTAGTTTCCATCACCTCCCAAAAGACGACGAATCTTCCTGTGTACATTTGTTTAAATTCTTAATATTCTATAAACTTTTATCAGCATGTGATTGGCTGTTCTCTACTGATGTTGCACCTAAACTCAGGATCAAAGCCTGTGTTGACAGAATACCAGATGTCCCAGTTAATGTATTCAAGCAGCACATTCATTTATAATTTTGAATAAACTCCAAAGCACAATGACTAAGTGTGTATTTTTTATTTTAATTGTTTGTCAGCTCGCACAACTGTCTGTCGCCATGCCTTGATGAGTATTGATTATTAAAAATGTTATTATAATACTACCAATCAACTACTGCGGAGGGTAAAGGTACTGTTATTTCACGCTTTTTAATTTCGTTGAGGTTGTGTTCCCACATCGTTAGCTAGTTCGGATCGCTATAACTTGAATGACTGTCAACTGTTGAATGAACGAGTGTCAAGCATGTCAAATCGCGCTTTGTTTACTTCCAACCGGAAGTCGCGCCCACTTTTGACGCAAGGCCTCATGGGGCGTAGGAAACTTGTGGATAGGATTAGTACCCAGCCGCCGTCGACTGTAGACGCGCTAGGGTATAGGGTAGGTTTATTGCTC